ATGCATGGTAGGTTAATCGAGATATCTTAACCTGCTGTTAGTATGAATGTGATGCTGAATAGCTTCCTCCCTGCTCTCTGACGGAGTGGCAACCTATCCAGCATGTACCCTGCCTCTTTTCTTTTTTCACCTAGGATAATCTCAGTGATCCCCTGGAACCCTCCATCCAAACACCTTCACAAAGCACTGTTAAAACATTCAACAGGTTTATTTACAGATTGTTAAAGTAAAATTGCTATCTTTGAATCGGAGGTTAAGAGAGAGATAATACAGGCTGTCCAATGGTGAACACACTGTCCACAGAAAACATGCCCACAGACAGACACAGACAGAAAAGAAGGAGAGAGTCAGTGGTAGTGTGGTAGTAATTGCATCAAACAGCTATGCAACCAGACCCTGGAATGTTCATTAGCGAACAGCCACCAACTTTAAAGATATGGAACGAGTGAATTGCTTCCTATGTGGACACAGTTTGGACAGATGTTTGAACAGTTTTCCAGATGTTCTACACCGAAATCGTCACCTGTATGAGAGCTCTCTGGTAGATATTTTGAATCCCTTATGCACACTTTCTGCAATTTTTGCCTAAGAGACTTACTCGCACATAAACAGTTATACAGACAAGCATACAAGACTTAAAGAGCTGGAAAGTTTCAAGAAAACATTTGGATAAAATCACAGGAATCCGGCATTCACTTTATTACATATGAGTCACTCTGTCGCTGCTATTGACTATGTTGCCTCTATTCCATGTGCAATATTTTGGTCTTCCCCTTTTTCTGTGCAATATTTTGTTCTCTGTGCAATATCCTGGCAGATGTGCAGTTACCATCCCCATCCTAAATGACCAGTGACCTCCCTTCCACCCTTATCTATATATTATATTACTGCCCTTGTACACACACCCACAATGCTTCTGTGACTCATACACCGTGTATATATATAGAGTGAGAATATTATATACTAGTTAGATATATATTCTTATTTGTATATTGCTTTCTTTACTTTTTTAAAAATAGACTTTTGCACTTTGTGGTCTTGCTACCTAATTTCGATGTGCAAGAAACTGTACAATGACAATAAAAAAAGTTCAGATACAACACCTCTTTTACCAGTGACATGTGGGCCCACTGGTGGACGATGAAGGTACTGCAGGTGCACTGCAGCGATAACAGAAGATAAATCTGAAATTACTCACAAGCATATACAATTAAATATTTAAATAAACGTATTTATCTATATGAAATTTATTAAACTGGTAATATGAGGTGATTAGTTTGCAATATGGCTTATTACTCTGACCTAAATATGTGGCTCTTGTTTTGAAGTTTGTGCCCTGGTGGTTGGCTCGGTCTCACATTGGCCTTAATACTGATTTATGCATATGACTGGATAGCATTAACAATTAATAGCCAACAGCCTGTATTCCTTATGTTTTTTAATGCATTTTATTCAAGAAAATACATCACTTTCTCCTGGATTAGGGTGAAGACTTGAGATTTAGTGTGCCTAAGAGATTTTTGTGGGTTTTTTTAAGTGGGCCGCAGCAATCTTGACTTTGGGAATGGCCAGGTTTTTAATCTTGACAAAGCAGTAGAAACCAGTGCTCTAGTCAGTATTTCCTCAGTTCCAGGTCAATAATAGTGCAGTATGCTCTTCACTGAATGAGCACTAATTTTTGCTTTCTGATATCCTTTCTTCTTTACACACACACACACACACACACACACACACACACACACACACACACACACATATACATTGATTGATTGATGATTGAAAATACTCCTAAACACTAAAGATGGATGCATTACAGGCATTTGTATCAGGACCTAATGGATTGTACTAACGCTTCCTTTGTGGTTACAGGTCACATTTTTAATTCTGTCTTCAAAAACAGAAATTCAGTCAAAGCAGCAGAGGGATACTTAACCTTCATCCATTGCACTATTCTTTCTTCTCCACAGGCATTCTCTGCTTTCTACTTCACTCACAAATACATCTCTACCCTCACCAACATGGATATGACGTCTCCTAATCAAACCGCAAAGGCTGTCCGGCGCGTCTGCAGCATGAGCATCTCTGAGGTACTGTCCATAAAGACTTTGAGACGTGTTGATTTGTAAATCCAGCAAACAAGCCACCAATTCTTCACCATGTTACTTGAAGGTTCTAAAGTCACTGTCGACATATATCTACATATATTATCTATTATATATCTATCAATATCTCTGTTTCCACACTCGTTTTTTATGAGTGCTTGATGTTTGTTGTATATTTCCGGCTTTGACAACTCAATTTCTCTCTGGGATTGATAAAATCTCTCTGATTATGACGAGCTTTAAATAACATAATACAAAACCTCACACATTGTATTTTCACTTATAGATGACGACTAGGACAAAGCAGGATGAGAAATACATGAAGAATGTCTGCGCCGTCTCCAATTTCGTCCAGGTGCTCTTAACACAGGGCTACCATTTTAACGAGGTTTCCCTTCCTTCTATTTCTTTTGAAAAAAAGGTGAGAGGTGAAACGAAATGATTTGCTGGAATTTAGAAGCTGATAGAATCCACAATATGATGTGATATCACTGCACCTCTTCTTGTGTTTCTGTAGGCCGGAGGAGCATCTGTAGGCTGGGCTTTGGGTTACATGCTAAACCTGACCAATCTAGTTCCAGCCGAAAATCCTGTAGTGATGAAGGCCCTGCCCATAGGGCCCTGGAAAGGCATCCTCTTCCTCTCCATCATCCTCATCTTCTTTGCACTGGGATACCTTCTCTTTGTCTACAGAAAAGCAAAAGCTAATGAAGGAATGGTTTAAGAGCAAGGGTAGCCAAGTTGAAGCAAATTTCTCTCAGGCAAAAAGCCTTCAGTAAACACCTTTTTAATTTTGGCTTTTTATATTATGTAGCGAAAATCATTCTTAAAGTAAAGCTCGCCCTATACAAGTTTTTCTTTATATTCACAAATTTCAGTAAATGTTCAGCTTATTCATGTCAGTGTGCACAAAATCCAAAATAAATGGGATCCTTTTTTAAATATTCCAGACTCAGTGTGCAATACAATACCACTTGTGATTAACTTGTCATTATTTAGCACTTTTCTAGTTTGAATGAGCACTGAAAGTAGCTTTTGCTACAAGCTATAGTACATAAACCCATTCACACACACATTCAGGCAGTCTATGAACGCATTTTCTATCACACACTACCTCTGAACAAATCAGGGACAACTTAAGGTTCAATATAGAACTGTGGCATACATACTCTAAGACACCACTAACAGCTAATGTGTCGTTCAAAATAGCCATGTGCCTAACAGAAGGCTTTTGAAGTAGTGATGGGATTTCCGGTTCTTTTGGCTCCCAACTGGCTCTTCAGGTTGTTTTGTTGCTTTAATTAACTTATTATTAACAATAATATAAAATTATGCACAAAAGGAATTAATTACTAATGTAAAAAAAACGTGGTTTTATTTATATATGTTTATATATAAATATATGCGGTGGCCCCTACAGACAAAGCACGAACAAACTCAAAAACACATTCCTAGAGTTAACTGAACTTCCAAAACAGCTACCTAGATCACTTAAATTACACAATTGAAAG